GCCAAGACAAGACGGTGGCCGTTGTGGGTTCACTCGTGTCCCTCGGAAGGATTCCTTTCAGACCCCTGAACGGGACCTTATTTGGAAATAGGGTCTTGGGAGATGCAATCAAGGTACAATGAGGTTACACTGGGTTAGGGTGGGACTCAATCCCGTGGCTGGTGTCCTTCTAAGAGGGAACCCCGGACCAGAGACGCACAGGGAGGAGGCCGTGTGGAGGCGGAGGCGGAGGCTAGAGTGATGCCTCTGCAAGCCGAGGAGTGCCGGCAGCCACTAGCAACTAGAAGGAGGGAGGGGTCCTCCTCAGGGTTTCCAAAGACAGCATGGCCCCGCCCACACCTTGACGTGCACTTCTGGCCTCCAGAGCGGAGAGTGTCACACTCTGCTGCTGTAAGTCACCAGGTGTGTCCCACTCTGTCACGGTGGCCCCAGAAAGCTACCAGAACGGCTGCCTTGGGCTGTCGCTGAAACAGAGGATGGTTTGCCTCCCTCGGAGGCGGCCCCTGGCGCAAAGCAGCCGTTCAGCAGGGAGTTGGGGCCGACTGGGCAGCGGCGTTACACACTTTACTTAAGTGTGAGTGCAAGGTTCGTCGCCCTCCCCCGTCAGAACGTCGCCTCCTCCGTGAGAGCGAGGGGAGGGAGTTCCTGCTCGCCGCTGGCAGCCCGGCACAGGGCAGGCGCTCGAGGAACGCCTGTTGACCCATCACGCACTGCATGTCCGAGAACCACGGGCACCCCCTGCTCCGCCGCCCTGCTGGTCCTTCGTGCGTTCAACACACGTGCATGAAGAGCTACCGTGTGCCCGGCACTCTGCGGGCATTTCGAACTGCCTCGAACTCCCGTGATGGCAACTCTCTGGGGGAGGCGGAAGGCAGGCGTGCAGATTCCAAGGAACGGTTAGAATCGCGACGGACAGATTTTACGTGCAGGGGGCGCTAGGAGCCGTGCGGCCCTAGGTCCTTACCTGCCGGTGATTCCGTTTCCTGGGGCTGCCGGGACAAATGACAATGCACCGTGGGGCTCAGGAGACAGCAGTTAGTTCCCTCACAGTTCCGGGGGCTGGAAGTCCAAGGTCAAAGTGTCGGCAGGGCGGCTTTCCTTGCGTTCTCTCCCCTTGGCTTGCGGATGACTGTCCTCTCCCCACGCCTTCGCTCCCTCTTCCCTCTATGTGCGTCCTCACTTCCTCTTACACGGACGGATGGGCCAGATTCAGGGAGGGCCCGCCCTAGTGGCCTCGTTTGAACTTAAGGACCTCTGGAAACAAAGTTGCATTCTGAGATAGTTCGGGTGAGGGCTTCCGCACGTGGGTTGGGGGAGGGTGCAGCTCCGCCCCGGCCAGCGGATGTGGAAAGGCAAACTCAGGGGAGTGAAGCGGCCTGCGCGCGAGCCGGTTAGCAGCGGAGTGGGGACCAGGGTGAGTCTCCCAACTTCCGGTCAGGCTCTTCTTTCCCCCCTATTTGCAGCCTTGCTTTGTGGCCCCAAAGCATCAAACGCTTCACAGATAATCTAAGGACAAGACCGAGGCAGCCAGGTGGTGGTAGTCGTGGAAAGCTTGGAGAGCAATCACGTAGCTGGGTCTTGCAGAGCAAAGGAACGAGGTAGGTGGGAGGGCGGAGGCAGGAGGGGCCAGGAGTGTGCCGGAGACACCTGTGTCTGAATCAGTGGTGGCATCGGGCTCTCCGCTGGTCTCCTGGCTTCTTCCCTCGCCCTCTTCCAGGCCATTCTCAACCCGGCAGCCACCACGACCCCTCTGTTCATGATTCTCTCGCCTCAGCAGGTTCATTCAGAATCTCTCCAAGCCTCAGCTAGCCCGTGCGGCTGCTTTTAGCGCCCTTTGAACTCTGCCAGGTGGGCCCCGTGGAGGTGTCTGGAAGCCTGGCTCGAGAGAGCATGACTAGTGCTCAAGTTAAACTTGGCTTCTCCCCTTCTTTCCTTCATTTAGCCTGGGAAGAGCCGATGGGGTTCAGAACGCTCCACCCCCCAAATACGGCACCTTGGCACCTGGACCATTCTAAGCTGAGGGAGTTTGGGATAACGGCAGGAGGAGGAGCGGGGAGGCCTCTCGAACCTTCCCCCGAAGTGAGAGGTGCGCCCCCTCCCGGTCCCTGGAGGAGAGGAGCAGCCTCGTCTCCGAGGCGGAGTCTGAACGGAAGCCCCGTTCCTCCCACTGACCCCACGCCCTTGTCCCATCGCACTTTCCGGCCCTTCGTCCAGCCCCGCATACGACACGCAGCTCCGATCCGCCCGTGGGGGTTCATTTCTTCACGCAGGCCGCGCGCCCTGTGAAACGAACGAGTGCTAAATAAACGCTTGCTTCTGTCCAGTCGTCATCAGGGTAGCTCGCAGAGCCGACCTGAGACCCCGAGGGGGTCCAGGAAAATCTTTGCCCTTCTGTGCACAGTCTTCTCCTCCAGGCGGGGGTTGAACCCACGACTTTCAGAAAAATCAATCAATTGTCACGCTTCGGATGGCCACTCTGATTCGGAGCTCCCAGACCAAAGCGGTTCATCCCACCCGAGAAGCGGGGTGGGGAGGAGTTGGGAGGGGCTGTCATCTCCCTGTGCTTCCTGAACAGCCCTTGGGGCCAGCTCTGGAGGGGGCGTGGTGGGGAGGGGCGTGGTCCGGGCTGACCTTTCGTTTATCCTCTTGGAACTGCTTCCGGAGGCACTCGTCCGGGGTGGGAGGGAGCTGCGGAGCCTGAGCACGTGGGGGGCCCCAGCTAGAGTCTGGTCGGTGTCCCTTATCCAGGCCCTCCCAAAAGCTCTTACCTGGTTACCATGGGGATTTCGAGAGGCTAGTGGAGGGCGGAGCACCCCCACACTCCTCGGAGCAGGAACCAAACGCTTTCCTTCAGAATCCCGAAATTCGGGAGGACTACGGGGCCGACCCAGCCCTTTGGCGAGGGGGGGGGGGCGGTGTTTCCGGAGGGGCTGGCCGTCCGGGGTGATGTCCAGTCGTAGCCACTCCCGCCTTCCTCAGGCTCCCGGAATCCGTCATTTGTCTTGGGAAGGATTTCCAGACTATTGGAAGAACACGGACCCCTCCTTGTTTTTCTTAGAAGGGTCCTTATAAAACAAATGAGGGCTCAGGCTGGCCAAGAGAGAGGCTTGATTTCAAGTTTTCCAACGACAGGGGTCCTGGCCACACGCTGTTGAATTGTGAGGACAGGAGAGAAGCCTCATTTTCCTTAGCATCGGGATTGCTGCCTCCTTTCCCAGCTGAGGTCCACTTTTAAGAAATGCTTGGCCCTGGCTGGCCTAGCTCAGTGGATTGAGCGCGGGCTGCGAACCAGGCATCGCAGGTTCGACTCCCAGTCAGGGCACATGTCTAGGTTGCAAGCCATGACCCCTAGCAACCTCACACTGATGTTTCTCTCTCTCTCTCTCTTTCTCCTTCCCTTCCCTCTCTAAAAAGAAATAAATAAAATCTTAAAAAAAAAGAAAATCACTGTTCTTATTTAAGAAAGAAAGAAAAAGAAAGAAAGAAATGCTCGGAGCCCTGGCTGGTGTGGCTCAGTGCCTGGGAACTTAAAGGTCACTGGTTCGGTTCCCAGCCAGGGCACACGCCTGGGGCGTGGGCCAGCTTCCCAGTGGGCAAGGTCCCCGGTTGGGTGCGTGCAAGAGCAGCCCTCGGTGCCTCTCACACCTCACGCATCCATGTTTCTCTCCCTCTCTTTCTCCCTCCCTTATCCTCTCTCTAACAATAAGTAAATAAAATCTTTAAAAAAGAAAGAAAGAAATGCTTTGAAAGCTCCTGGGAGTGGGAAGTGAGGCCCCTGAGGGCGGGCTTGAACATGGACAATAGCCGGTTGTTGTTGCCACTTCCCCGGGGTTGGCAGTCCCTTTTGGCAGGGACCTCTTGCAAGGTCCCTTTTGTGAGGTTTTTGTGAGTCTGAAGGAGAAGCCGAGTGGGGGAGGGAGGGCGAGGAGGGGGCCTGCGTTTCCCCGGCCTGGCCCCCTTGGACCTTGGGGTCCCCTCCTCTGCTCATGGATGTGGGGATGGGGGTGAGGGCTCCACTTCGGAGATGGAGTGTCACTCCTCCCAAGCTAAGGGTCGGCCTCAGCTGGGTGGCAGAAGCAAGGGGGAAAACCCAAACCCGCATCGTTCAGATCCTGACGGCCTGTCAGTCTTTATGGGGCTCAGCAGCTCAAGGAAGAAAGAGTGTTGGAGCAGGTGCCCAAGGAGAGCAGTCGCCCACCACCCGCTGGCCTCCGGGGCCTCTTGCGAGGTCCCTTTGCCCAGCTCCCCTGCACGTGACAGCAGGGGCAGGAATTCCACAGTGAGGACAGGACGGTGCTAAGTGCCTGCCGGCTGCTTCTCCTGCTTCTCCTCCTTGGTTTAGCCCTCTGCTGGGGACCCTGGGGAGCCTGCAGCCTGTTAGCCTCTCAGCAGCCAGGGGAGGAGCGGCCATCCGCTGCCTCCTGTTGTGGCTTCTGATCTCAGTGAACGGAGTTAGCCTCACGCCCCACCTGCCCTGAGGCTGCAGGTGGGGCTCACATTCCAGCCCGGGAAACGTCCCATCAGTCCCTGTCAACCCACGCTGGTGCGACGGAGGGTCTTGGCCGTTGTCCCGGTACGTCCCACGCAGAAATTCAAGGGCTTGTTGTCAGCAGCCTTAGATGGACCACAGCGCCCTTTTCTGCTGTTTTGAATTTAACTTTATTTTTATTAAACATGTTTAACCGACGTCGAACACATATAGGAGAACATATAGATTGTTGAAAGGAAAGGGCATTTTAAAAGTTTATTGATTTTAGAGAGAGAGGAGTGGGAGGGTGGGGGGAGAGAGAGAGAGAGGCTGAGAGATTTGTTGTCCCACGCATCCGCGCATTCAGTGGTTGACCTTGCGTGTGCCCTGACTGGGGCTGGACCCCACAACCCTGGTGTGTCAAGATGGTGCTCTAAACCACTGAGCTGCCTGACCGGGGCCAAAAAACATATAGATCTTAATAAGGAGCATTGAAAAAACAAAGAATAGACTCACAACTTCCATACAAATATAAAATGAACACGTGTCAGAGATTTTATTTAACTCATTAACGAACGAGGGAACCGGCACATTACAATCGTTGCAACCAGTTGGAAGGACGATCAAGAGCGGATGCAGAGCTGCCAGGGACGCTGGGGTGCGCTCGCTGAACGGACGCAGGACTGGTCGGCGCCCAGAGGCCAGCAGCCACCTGCCACTCCACCGGGCGCGGTGCGCATTTTTCTGGAAAAGAATCATGTGCAGTATCATCCGTGTATTCAACGACTTCCAGGGTTATAAAATGGCTCAGAGATGATAAAAAGGCACGCCAAAGGCCGCAACCCGTGAGCATACACCACACAACACAGTCTCTGTCGAAGAAATCCAGTAATTTTGGAGATCGTTCGAGAGCACTTCCGCTTCCCTTCGCCTCCAGTGTGGGGCCCGGTTCCAAGGCGAACTCTTTGGTGATGCCCAGGACAAGACATGCAACCTCGGCCCTTTAAAAGCCCTTCTTCCCAATCATCCGTTACTCTTGCCTCCCTCCCCCAAGGCGGCCACTGCACGCATCTCCAAACCCAAAGGATAGCTTTGTCAGCGCCGGAACCTCCTATGAATGTAATAAAAAAAGTATACACACCTGCACACTTTTCTCGGCCTGGCTTCTTTCACTCAATCCAAGTGTTTCTGAGATTCCTCCACGCTGTTCTGCACATCAGCCATTCATTCTTTTCCATCCAGCCCAGTAAGTAGGAAGGGACCCCTGTATTCATTTCACTGTTCGTGGGCATTGGAGCAGTTTCCAGCTTAAGGAAATAATAGTGCCGTGGGGAGCGATCTTGGGCACGTGTTTTGGTGCCCATGGGCTCGCGTTTCTGCTGGAGTGGAATTCCTGGGGGGCGTGGAGAGTAGGTGTGCTCCTTTCCAGGAGCTTCTGCGAGGTTCCCAAAGGGGTTGGACCACTCCTTCCCACCAGGAGGTGGAGGAACTCACCTATTAGGATGGAGTTTCTCACATCCTAATAGGTCTCCCCTCTTTCCAGCGTCTGGCTCCAGGACTGTTTCCTGAACATGCCTAAGGAAGGTTTCTTCCCGAGAAGTCTAGGGTCTTGCCTCCGGCCATTTTTAAATAGCCGCAGAGAGTTGCGTTTGAAAGGTGGGTGGGAGCCTGTGTCTTCCTGCCTCAGAGTTTTCCAGGCCTCCCCTTCGCTCTCAGGGTGAGATCTCAGTCTGCACTTTTTTTGCTCTGGTCCCTGCTTGCCCCTCTCATCTGGGGCCCACCCCCCACCCCTCGGCCACTGGCTGCAGCCCCGCCCATCTTCTTGTGGTTCCTTAAACACACCAAACCCATCCCTCACTTCGGGGCCATTGCATCCATAGCTCCCTCTGCCGGAATGCCTCTCCCCAGATCTTTGCACGGGACTCCCCAAAATATCATCTTGACTCTCTTGGTGGTGTCCTATCCGACATAAAGAAATTGGGAATAAACGTAAAATGATGACTTCATGGTCTCCCGTGGAAAACTCACCGTTCAGCGGACACCCTTCCGGCTCTCCGACTCCTGGCGGCAGTGGAGGCCTCCGAGCCATTGCCTGGTGCTCTAAGTTGTAGAGAACCCACAGCAGAGCAGACTCTCGTCTTTGGATGTGCAAATTGAGTGGCGGGGGAGGGGGCGGGGCTCAGTTGACTTCAGCCCCTTCTGTGGGAGCAGCCTGTTTCCCAGCTATTTGCAAATCCATTGAACACTCCTCCTCTGTAAACATGCCTGTTCTTTGATTTTTTTCCTTTGAACCGGCTCTGGCGTTTGCCTGGTTCCCTAGTTAATGAGTTAAATACACTCTTTAATACAGGTTTGTTTTTTTTTATCTGTATGAGAGTCATGCCATTACTCTTTTTTTTTAAAGATTTTATTTATTTATTTTTAGAGAGGGAAGGGAGGGAGAAAGAGAGAGAGAGAGAGAGAGAGAGAGAGAGAGAGAGAAACATCAATGTGCGGTTGCTGGGGGTCATGGCCTGCAACACAGGCATGTACCCTGACTGGGAATCGAACCTGCAACACTTTGGTTTGCAGCCCATGCTCAATCCACTGAGCTATGCCAGCCAGGGCTGCCATTACTCTTAAAAAATTATTTCTTAACACTGACCTTCCCCAAACCAAACTTTTTAGAGGGGAAGGAAGGCAGAAAGCAAGGGAGAGAAACATCGATCAATTGCCTTTCGTTAAGCACCCCAACTGGGGACCAAACTCAGGCATGTGCCCTGACTGGGAATCGAACCACTGACCTTTCGTTTTGTGGGATGACCCCTAACCCACTGAGCCCCACCTGTTAGGGTGCTGTGTCTTACTTTTCTTAGAGCTGGGTCACCCTCTGAGATTACTTTGCTCTTTTATTTCTTTGCTTGATTTTGCTGGGCCTTTCCCACCTGCCTTGGTCACTGCGTGGAGCAGACACTCCGAAACATAATTACGGACCGAGTCAGGGGCGGTAGGTCAAGGTCAGAAGCAGCTGAGGCTGGGGCGATAGCGCCCCCTTCCCTGTCCCTCCTCTCCTGCAAGGCCGGCTGTCCTGTCTGGGTTCAACGGGCCGTGCTCCCCTGGATCCTGGGCCGCTGGTCCAACGAGGCCAGGCCAGGCCCCGCGCTGGACCTTTCTGACAGGTGAAGGAATCAGGTTTTTATGGCAGCACCAGGCTTTGGGCTGAGCCGACCGATAAACAAGCTAGAGATACCGGCTAAATTCACAACTGAGAGAGCTTTTTGCAGGAGCCTGGATGCCTCTCTCATCCTCCCAGCCAGGACATGGGACTCTGGGAAGCCAAGTGCTGGTGCCAGGAGGAGGGTCGGGCCCAGGACCCTCCGACTCCGAGGTCAGCACAGTTCCAACAGTAAAGCCCAGCGCGCAGACCGTGCGCCATGTGCCGGGCCTACTTTCCGGGATCCGTGTCCATGAACGTATCCTTACGACGGCACGGCTGCAGGTGGGGAAAGCGAGGTCCAGGGGAGGGAGCGACTCTCCGCGGCTCCCACAGCAGTGAGTGCTAGAGCCAGGATCTCGGCCCGGGCAGGCGGGCTCCGGAGTCTCTGCGCCGAACAGGAGCCTCCAGAGGAGCAGCACGTGCTCGCTGGACATTTGTTCCGGGCCAGGCCCCGTGCTGAGGGGTTTGCAAGCATGGTCGTCTCATTTCCTCCTCCCAGTCCCCAGCGAGGACGGTGTTGGCCTTGTGCAGCAGGGTGCAGGAGTTTCCAAGAGCACCCTCGCTTTGGACACCGTCTTCACGTTCACGGGTTTCCAAGACCACCCTCAGGTTCCCTAATTCACCGGAAGGATACACAGAACTCAGAAAAGCCATGACACTCCTGTTTACAGTTCATCGCGGGGAGATGCTGGTTAAAATCAGCCAAGGGGAGAGGGCAACGCACAGGGCGGAATCCGGGGCGGGGGGGCCCAGGAGCAAGCTTCCGGCTGTCCTTTCCCAGCGGGGTCCTGCCCACAGTGCTCACTCCTCCCAGCAACGGCGGGTGACAACAGACAGTCACGCCCTGCTTGACAACTGGCAAGCTCTGAGGAATCGCACTGTTGGGCGGTATCACTGCTGAGTGAACATCACCGAGTGCGTTCCCACAAACCTGGATGGGGCAGCCCCCTGCACACCTAGGCTGCACGGCGCAGCCCGCCGCTCCCAGGCGACGAGCCTGCCCCCCGTGTTCCTGGACAAAACAGCACGAGACTCCGTCAAGCACCAGAGAAAACAATGCCGTCGAGACACGCGGTAAACACGAGACGTATGAGGCGGCTGCTGTAACCCAACACACGGTTTTACAGCACACTTTGTTTTTTAATAAGTAGAAAGAGTCTACCTCTGAAAAATACTAAAATAGTACAGTATAGTAAATACGCAAACCAGTAAGTAACAAAGCCATTTACTTCCGTTATCAAGCGTTCTGCACCGTAGGTAACCGTGCGGGCGACACAGGCAGCAGCACTGTAGGTCTGCTGACACCAGCACCCCCCCGGGGAACGCGCTGCACCGTGATGCTACAATGGCTTTGACGTCACTAGGCGACAGGAATTTTTCAGCTCCGTTGTAATCTGATGGGATCACCGAGAGTGTGGATCTGTTTCGTTGACACTGCATACCACTTCTTACCCCTGGCCTGTGCTTAGGTGGTGCTCTCGGCCCAGAGTCCTCAGCGGAGCCATCCCGCTCCGAGGATGCGCCGGCACGCCTCTGCTGCACTTGTGTGAGTCGGGGGACTTGTACACAGGTTTCTACCCAGGGCCGATGCACGTTTTTTAAACTGCCTTTGGCTGTCGTGCGTCCCTGCTCTACAGACTCAGGCCAGAGCCGTCACTTCCCCTACTGACTCTCCTCGACAGTGGACACTGTGTCCACAGTGATGACCCTGAGGCCTGCCAGGGGTCAGGTGTCCCTCTGTTACCAGCAGAAGAACATGGCATTGGGTTCAGTATTGATTCAGGGTCGTGTGCATTCCAACGTTTATTCGATTTCTCTGACACTCTAATTAGTTTGACATTGTGAAGAGCTGAAAAATAACGGTGGGAGTGTTTAGGTGTCTGTCTGATCCTGGGCTCTGCGACCTTAAACAAGTCCTTTCATTTTTGGGGTGACAGTAATTACCATCATAATAAGAACTGTCATCTTTAGGCACAGTGTCGGTGAAGAGCACACCGTACAGAGCAGTGCGCACATTAGCTCATCCATGTCTGACATCCACCCAGTGGGGCCTTTACCTTCGCCAAAATCATCACCACCACCATCACCACCACCACTATCATCACCACTACCACCACCACCACCACACCACCATTGCCATCACCACCGCCACCACCATCACCACCATCACCACCACCACTATCATCACCACTACCACCACCACCACCATCACCATCACACCACCACCACCACCACCACCACCACCACCACCACCGCCATCACCATCACCACTGCCACCACCATCGCCACCACCATCACCATCACCACCATCACCACCACCACCATCACCACTACCACCACCACCACCACCACCACTATCATCACCACCACCATCACCACTACCATCACCATCACCACCATGATAAACCAATACACAGAAACAAACAGAAACTAAGCAGCAGGTTCCACTCCACACACACACGCACACACACACACACACACACGCACACACACACTGGATTCAAACCCAGGAGTGGGATTCAACCCGGGCGCTCTGACTCACTCTTACCAGTAAGTCACTTCACGCCCTGTCTCCCCTGTGGAACACAGCAGCTGGATTTAAACACGTTCAGAAGCTGGCTGCTCAAAATGTGGTCTGTGAACCAGCAGCCCCGGCACCACCTGGGAACTGGTTTGAGTTGCTGAATCTTGGACCTACTGCATCAGAGTCTGTATTTTAAAAGGCCCCCGGGTGATCAGTAGGCCCCCGAAGTCTGAGAAGCCCCACAGGAAGACAGCTCCCTTCTGACATTCTGTGAACCGTGACCTCTGCGTGGAGCGAAGGGTTCCTCTCAGTGGTGACAACAGGACGCCTACGTGCCCCGCTACCATCCCACTGAAACAGGGCTGGGAGGAGAAGTCCTTCGTTCCTTCTCAGGAGTATCTTGTGGGACGAGTGCTTCTCAGGCTGCAGGGCCCTGTGGGGCCCCAGGAGCCTCGTGGAGGGTTCGAGGCGGTGTCTGAGCAGAATCCTGCGGCTGCCAGGTAAGCGACAGCGGTTGGCCGGGCAGGGCCCCCACCCGAGGAAAGATGCCCTTGTGTGTACCTCACCCCAGGGCCTTTGCAGTGCCTTTCCCCTGCCTGGAGAGCTCCTCCCCGCTTTCTCACGGCCGGTTCCTTCCTCTCGCTCAGGTCTTGGCTCAAAGGCCCCCTCTCCCAGAAGACTCCCCGACTCTGTCTCAGGCAGTCCCGAGCCGCCCTATCACACCTCTTTCCGTTTGCTTCTCGGCCTTCCTCCCTCCTTGAAATGCTCTTCCACGACTGGTCACCTGCTTGTCACCCGCGCTCCCCACAGACGGTAGCTCTGTGGAGGCGAGGCCCGGCCGTTTCTGGCTTATTGCTTTCCCTCCAGAACCAAGCATGCTGCCTGGCACGTAGTAGACACTCAAAAGGTATTTGTTGGGTGAACAAGCAGCTCGCAACCCTAGAAGAAGTGACTTTCCGTTGCTGATATGCTCTGAAACCTAAACCGCCCAGGAAAACATGGACGTGGAGTGGAAGGGGAGATTTTTACACCTGTGAAGTGGGGGGTCATCTCACGCTTGGTGGGGGGATTGCACACCTAAAATAGCAACAAGCAAACACACACACACACACATGCAAACTAGGGAATGGTATCAGAACAGCATCACAGGGACCTTTCAGCCATGGGCTTGCCAACAGAAACAATGGGAAGGTGCGGGGGTGGAGGGAGGTACCACCAGGTGATTACCTGGAACCTTCCAGAAAGAACAAGAGTAGAGAGATATGCGAACTGCCTGCTTCTCTCTGTTTTCCATCCCGGGGAGCAGAACAGGTCTTTTCGATTCCTCTTCTCTTTTGCACGAAAAGAGAGAAATTGAGGAGAGGGTCTTTCCGATCTCTGTCTGAGACTGGGAAAATCTCCCGGAGTTGCTGCTCCTTCTGGAGACCCCCAAAGCACCTTCAGGGACCGGTGGGGCCCGAGTCTGCCCTGGGAGAGGCAGCTGCCCGACGGCCAGCCAGCAGGTGACGTCCTGGCAGCAGCATTTATGTATTAAAAGGCGGCTTTTCGAGGAGAAACGCTGCGGATACATTAAGCTGTCGCCTGTTCTTTGGAGCGCCGTTATTAATGGAAAACAATAGATTAATAGTTTTAAAGCGCTTGTTCAATAAGTAATTTTTATGGCTCTGGATAGAGCCCATTAAACATTTCTGTGTGTTATTATAAAGAAGTTTTAAGCGTAAAATCATAAAGTCAATAATCAGAGAATTAGTCACAGCGGCCAGCCACAGGCCATTAGTTTTAGGCGCTGTCAGCGACACCTGTGGCTTCCGCGGGGAGAGTTTTCATTTCAGGCGGCAGCGCGGCCGCGCCAGGTGGGGACCGGGGAATGACGGTACCCGCTGCCTTCCATAAACTCGAGGGGGCGGCGAGCAGGTGTGAGCAGCGGGACGCCAGGCAAATATTTACAAAGTGCAAACGTGAACGCAAAGCTGAAACGATCCAGGTCAATGTGCACGGCAGGCTGAGACGCTTTATTTCCCCCGCGACCGCCTCCGTTGCAGCGCGTCCCCGGGCCGCAGGCCGGGCCTTGATCTCCGGCTAAAGATAGAGGCGGAAGCCGCGCGTTTTTGGAAGGAAAGCGTGTCGCCAGGGAATCCCCCGCGGAAAGGCGTCCAGAGCAGCTTTCTGAAAAGTGGCGTTTTTTTCCCTCTCCTGTCAACTACTCAGTCGAGGCAAGGATTTGCAAGCGTCACTGGGAGCTTTTAAAAATCACTTCTGAGCCCTGGCTGGTGTAGCTCAGTGGATTGAGTGCGGGCTGCGAACCAAAGTGTCTCAGGTTCGATTCCCAGTCAGGGCACATGCCTCGGTTGCAGGCCATGACCCCCAGCAACCACACACTGATGTTTCTCTCTCTCTCTCCCTCACTTCTGTCTCTAGAAATAAATAAATAAAATCTTAAAAAAAAAACCCTGTAACTTAAAAAAAATCACTTATGTAAAGACTAGACTTTCAGGGATCATGTCCATAGTTTGTTAAAAAAACACTTCTATAACATCGTGACAAAAGCAATGCCACGAATACCAAATAATATTGACTGCACGCTGTAATTGAAACAATTTTTCAGTGGAATAAAAAGCAACACAAGGTAGCTGTGGAAACCACAGAGAGGCCAAAGAAGGTCATAAACATTACCCATAGCCTCCCTCCCCAGAGATGTTCCTCTTTCTATTTTACTCCTTCGGCCAATGCCTATGGAGTCTGTTTCGCACCTGAGACTGGACGCTGCTTTGGGCGCCAGGAAGGCAGTGATGAACCAAACGGACACTCCCGGCCCCAGGGGGCTGACACGCGGGTGGGGAGACACAGCGAGAAATATAATAAATACGTAAATCAGGAAGCAGGTTAGAAGGTAATGAGTGCTACAGCAGGTGCGGGATAAGACAGAGGTGATGACTTCTCATCATTGAGAAGATGATATTTGCATAAAGACCCCGAGGAGTCAGGAGAGTGAGTCAGGCAGGCATCTAAGGGAAGGGAAGGGAGCTCCAGGCAGGGGGCGCAGCCAGTGCAAAGGCCCTGGGGCAGGAGTGTGCCTGGCAGGCTTGAGAGAAGGCAGTGGAGCTGGAGTAGAGGGAGGGAGGAGAGGGAATGGAAGGGGAGGGGGAGGGGGAGGGGGAGGGGCTAAGGCAGTGGGGCGTGCAGGATTTTGGCGTCTCCTAGGAGCGAATGACGGAGAGGTTTGGGCACAGGAGGAACGCGATCTGACCTACCTTTGAAAAGGATTCCGCCGGCTGCTGCTGCTGCGTGGTGTGAGGGAGGAAGCCAGGAGAGGAGCGGAGGCAGCTGCAGAAGCCCGGCCAGGGGCTGGACTGGGCAGAAGGGGTGGGACTCCGGGTCTGTTCTGAAGGTGGAACTGAAGGGATTTCCTGCAGGTGTAGACCTTTCCAGGTCTTTTCCTGTCACTGCTCTTTTTAACCTGCTCCACGGAAGACACTTCTAGGCACAGCGGCCTCAGTTCCGTGTGGGCGTCTGAGGTTTCTGACCTCACGGTGAAGCAGCCTCAGCGGGTTCAACTCACATTCCTGGCCTTTCTCCTTATGGTGGCCTCGAGGGCTCCGACCACCTGGATGATTCTTCTTCTTCTTCTTCTTCTTCTTCTTCTTCTTCTTCTTCTTCTTTTTCTTCTTCTTCTCCTTCTCCTTCTCCTCCTCCTCCTTTCTCCTTCTTCTTCTTCTTTTTAAGATTTTATTTATTTATTTTTAGAGAGGGGAAGGGAGGGAGAAAGAGAGAGAGAAACATCAATGTGTGGTTGTCTCTCACGTGGCCCCCACTGGGGACCTGGCCTGCAACCCAGGCATGTGCCCTGACTAGGAATAGAACCTGTGATGCTTTGGTTTGCAGCCTGCGCTCAATCCACTGAGCTACACCAGCCAGGGTCTCCTCCTCCTCCTCCTCCTCCTCCTCCTCCTCCTCTTCTTCTTCTTCTTCTTTCTTCTCCTTCTCCTTCTTCTTCCCCTTCCCCTCCCCCCTCCTCCTTCTTCTCCTCCTCCTCCTTCTTCTCCCCCCTCCTTCTCTCCCCCGAATGTGACTGCTTCTGCATTCTGATCCTGGCGATCACTTCATTTTCCAAGCCTGACCCTGGGCCCGCTTGGTGCAGAAGGAAGTGGGTTTGGGGAACGGTTCCTAGAAGGACACTTATAATGTCTCTTGGGAAGCGTCCACTCTGGGAGACAAAAGGAGCTAAGCCTAAGCACAGACGTCAAGAAAGGAGACACTGCACCCTCATCCCTCTGCAGAGACGGAGCCGAGAGAGACCAAGGGAGGGGTGAGACCCAGGGTCTACTCTTTCAGAGTTGTGGGGTGTAGATCTCAAAAGACCACTAGGCATGTTAGTTATCCCAGCTCGGATGCTGCCTCCTCCTCCAGGCAGTCTTCCTGGGAGTTGGTCTCCCTCCTCTGTGCACTGAACCTGCGCCTATCCTTGCACCTGCCACCCTGATGCATAACGTGTCTGCACTCACTGCCATCTCCTGCTGGGTCTGGGAGTGTCCGTGTTGAGAGGGGCACGCGCACAGTGTTTACCTTAGGGCCTGACACACAGTAGGTGCTTCATGAAGTGACCGAATGGTGCTGCGAGATTCGCGGAGGCTGGCCGACTTTGGAGCTGATGGAGTGTGAGCTTCAGGGCCCCTCACTGGCACTGTGGCCCCTTATGGGGTCACGAGACCGTAGGACCGTAAAATTAGCAAAAGTGAGATATTGGTGTGTATGTGTGTTTTTTTTTAAAGATTTTATTCATTTATTTCTAGAGAGGGAAGGGAGAGAGAGAGAGAGAGAGAGAGAGAAACATCAATGTGTGGCTGCTGGGGGTCATGGCCTGCAACCCAGGCATGTGCCCTGACTGGGAATCGAACCTGCGACACTTTGGTTTGCAGCCCGCACTGAATCCACTGAGCTACGCCAGCCAGGGCGTGTGTTTTTTTTAAGAGGCCCTTCCGCCCAATTGCATGAGCTTTAGGTCCTATGCAACTGGGGAAGGCTCAGAGCCGGGGTTCAAGGGGTGGGCTGATGCCCATCAGAGTGGGAGCTGATGCTTCTTTGGGGGCCAGGAGGACAGGGAGTGGCCCTGATTTAGGCAGTGACGGGTGGCCGGGGCCAGGGGGTCAGAGGGCTGTCATTCCCTGGGCACTCTTGTTGCTGAAATTTCCGTGCCGGGCTCCTGAGAGGGTGCAGGCTGCCCCCGGACACCTGGTGTTCCCCCTTCCTCTGCTCTTTTTCTCCTCACCTGCACTTCCGTGCTCTGCTCCCTTTCCTGACCACGCCCAGGGCTCCCCCGAGGGGGTTCTGTTCCACCCCCTCGAAGAGAGGGGGGGAATTTCAGGACTGCCCTGTCCCTTCTCTTTCTCTTCCTTTCTGCGGTCGCCCCCCTCTGTGACACCCCACCCCCGCCCCATCCATGCTTCGGCTTCGTCATCTGCCTACTCTGAGCCTCAACGGTCTTATCTGGAAAATGGGGACAAGAAAGCCTTCCTTAGGAGACACCCGTGAGGGCCAAAGGAGACAAGGTGTTAGCATGCTTGTCACCTGCCGAGGGATGTTCGGGCACAAGCTCTCGTTCTGTCTGACCAGGGTTGACCTACCCGAAAGCCACCAATGTCCCCCAGCTGGGAGGGCTTCCCTGGTGGGGCTGACCTGCCGGATCCCAGAGGCCGCGCCCGGGTTCCGAGTCCCAGCCGCCTCGGTGTCACCTCTCAGCCCTCTTCGGAGAGAGCCGCCAGCTTCCCGTCAGTGATGTTCACCGTATTTGCCGCAAACAGTCACTGACCTCTAATTGCGGCTTATTAACTGTGTTTCCCCCTTTCGTTTGCACACGTGAATTTTGCCCTGCTTCCCGAAAGCAAATTACAGGTTAGAAATCAGACTATTTCAAAGCGGGGTGAAGAGGTTGGCGCAGAGTGACCGCTGCACAACCAACTGTCTGGTGTGAACGTCCAGGCTGGGCCGAGAGAGCGTTTGCTGCTGACCCACGTTCACGCAGGTACCAGACTCGGGGCCTGGGGTGGGGCGGGGGGACACCCCAGGTCAGGCTTCCCTCCAGGAGGCGCCTGAGCCTCTCTCCAGGCGTGGCCGGGCAGAGTGGTGGCAGCTGGAGGTGTCACGTGGCATCGCCCTCCTGCAGACAGTTGCCGGCACTGGCTGGGTGTCCGGTTCCGTGGGGCTTTTATCTGAGCGGGCCGGGAGGGGATGGGATTGGCGGGGAGTGGAGAGCTGATGGTCCGGGGACTGGCATTCTCGGCTTCCCAAGGTGGCTGGCCCAGGGGACAGCGGGAGGACGGGGACTGGCCCCAAAGCTGCAAAACTGTATCCTTGTGTCCTTTCTCTCTGAGTTGAAAAAAAGTTTTTCATTTGCCTCAGGTAATGGGAAAAAATTATAGACTTTTGGCCATTAAAAAGACCTCAGATACAACGAGGTGTAGTGTCTGCATTCGGAAGGAAACAGAGGCTTCTCCCTGAATCCAGGGGTGAGCTCCTTCACAGCTCTGTGGGCTCCTTGAAGTTGGATTTCTCTCTAGCCCAGGAGGAGCCTGTGGGAGCTAGACAAGACTTGGGGGATGGTGGTGGTGGAGGGTGAGGTGGGGGGGAGGCTACAAACTCAGTTGTGCACAGGGGCCGGACCCACAGCCGAAATGAGTGTGCCACACTAAGGAGGCCATCGAGAATTGCATTCACATCTTCGTTCATTTCGCAAATACCTTTATGCCACTTGCTCCCTGCCGAGCACTGTTGCAACCACTTTGTAAATATCAAATATCAAAATGCAGTGGGTGCTAATGTAATCCCCACTCTGCGGATGAGAGAACTAAGCGGAGAGAGATTAGGCGGCGGGCCCAAGGTCCCTCCGCCGTAAGCGGCAGAGCCGGGCTGCGCGAACCAGGCAGCACGCTGGGCTGAGGAGCCAGCCTTGCACCCCGACCCCTGCAGAGGGGCGGTCTCCACTCCGGCCCCGCCCCCTCTGGCCAGACTCTCCGACTTTCCAAGAGAAACTTGACATCCACAATTGTCTGTGAAATCTCCCAATTTTAAAAAGTTGGCTTTGATATCGGAAACACTGCGCGTGGCTCCAAGGACACACTGAGTTTGGCCGGGGTGGCCCCTGCTTGTACGGGGAAGATGGGCCAAGGAGAGGAAGAGGAGGGAGGGGGAAGGGACGGAAGAGGAAAGGAGGAATGGAAGGAGTTTGGAGCAGAAAGCCTGTCTGTGACCATCACTACTCATTCAACAAGCATTTATTAAACACCTACTGTATGCCAGGCGCCGACGCTAAGGGGACAGGTGGACCCTCCCCCCAGGAAGAGAGCTGAGCTCTCCGCACCCGGTCTGAATTTTAAAACGAGCGTGAGGCTGCAGGAAGTGTCTGCGGGACAGGGCGCAGAGAGCTGAGCTCCTCTAACCCTGAGCCCTGCTCGCTGCCACCTCTGTCGGATGGGGGACCCTCTGCCATCCCTTTGCCTCCAAACCTTAAGGAGCAGGGGCTTAGTGGGAGAGGCTTTCTCTACCCACTTGCCTTTTCAGTGGCAAAAGTGACCACCGCCTAGCCTGGTGTTGGTCCTTCTAAGAATTGCAGGGCCTTACTCGCTGAGTCCCCACGCTTGCCACACCAGGTTCTTGGACATTCAGTGGCTGGTCACCTCTCCCTCTGTCCTGGGCCTGTAATTCTGGGAGCTGCCGCCAGGGGGCCAGTGTTGCCGGTGTCACGCGACACCCTGGCCGAGTTGCTGAGAAAGGCAGGATCCTGCTCGGGCCCAGGCGCCTGCTTTGTCTCCTATGACCTGCCTCGGAAGCTTGGATGCCCAGCAAATCCTTCCCCAAGGGAGGCGTGGGAGCCTGCAGTGTCCCCCGTCCCTGAACACAGACTCCGCGGGGGTGGGCAGCATGCACCCGATGGAAGATAGGTCTCCGTGGCCCCAGCTCCCCTTCCCTCCACCCTCTTCCCGCACTTGAGAACCTCATCGAATTGGCTGATTCATTCCTCGTGACTTCTGCAGCCGCTGCTTCCGTATCTGCACCTTGAACTTGCATTAAGTTTTAATTAAAGCCGTTTCACTGGCCTTGCCCTTGGCTAAATGCGGCCACGGGCACAGGGCACATGGATATTTAATAGTCTGCCTCTCCTCGCTGAAGGCGCAGGGTGCCCAAGGGTGTACCCGAGCCGTGCCCGCTCGCAGCGATCCGCGAGCTCGCTTAAGTGTGCCCACAGGCCCCGAGCGGGAGCCGTGCAATAACTATTCATTGCCCTGGGTTAAGTGTGCCCAGGGGCACCCATAAACTCAATGCAGTGATTAGCGACCGCTCCCGGTGAAGGCTGCCCGAGGTCCCGCAGAATGTCCTCGGCCCTAAATATAGCCTCCGCGTGGGGCCTTAAAGGGCACGGCGTTTTTGCTGCGCGCTGGATAGCGTCTTCCTTTCCTTCTTTAAGCAGAATTGTTTCCCTCCCACTCAAAGCCCAGCCTCCGGGGGGCTCCCCTGCCTTCCACCAGGGTGCAGCGGACTGACCGGAAGGGCGTGGGAACAGTGGGGCAGCTTCGGTGGTGACGAGGAGACGTGCCGAACTCTCGGCGGCGCCGTCTTCTCACCGAACCGCGAGCATCCTCCGCCTTCCTCCCTCTCCGCTCCCCAAGGTGCCGATCGCTGCCGTCCCCTCGCCAGCTGTGCCTAGGACCCCAGCTGCCCCCTTGGTCGCGAGGGCAGCAGCTGAGGCAACGACATTTCCCTGGGTCTGTTGACACTCGAGTCCCAGAACATAAATGATTTTCTTGTCTTAATGAGCAAACAACCCTGCCGCTCGGCTCTCCAGCCGACCTCCTGCTGGGGTAATTGCCGGCGCTTATGTGCTCTGGCAGAAATGTTTACCCACTCACCTTTGCTTACCGCTTGCTTGCGGGAGAGGCTGCTGTTTCCCCTTTGTTCTGCAAGTCCCCTGTCCCTGCCCTGGGAAGCGCCCGTGGACAGGTGGGGCGGGAGCAACTCCCCGGAAAATCCTGCCAGCAGGGGTTTGGGAGCACTCAGAAGCAGGACTTTTGTGACCCTTTGGGGAGTGTGGGTGGACAGTGCCAGCACTCGTGGGCCTTTGTCTTGGCAGCCGGGGCTGGAAGCGTCCCCTCGTGCCCTCCAGCCAGACGCCCCGTCTGAGAGGAAACTGAGGGCCTCTGCTTTGGCTGGGAACCTGGGCTGGGGGGCCTCCAAGGCCCTTCCAGAGACGGGGACCTCATTCCTTTGCAAGGCCTGGCACAGCTCTTCCCCCGAACACGGCTCCTGCTGCCCCTGGTGTGTCCTCTGCAGCCTCCCGGAGAGAGGTGGTCCTTTCTCCGTTTCTCATCCCTCTGACTCTGTGAAGTCAGCACTGCCCTCCCTAAATCTTCCCCGGAATTCCTGGTTCCCATTCTCCTAGGATAGCGTCTGGGGACCTCTGCCTGCCCCCTGCTCCCACCACCCAGACACCCCCCTTTATTCAAGGCCCCAACTGCCGATGGCCCACTGAGCTGTGACTGGTGGAACCAAGGACTCCGGTTGTGCATGGTCTGGGCGGCACGGCCAGGAGGGATGACTGTGCATTCATTTTTTCGGTCACACATAGGGCACCTACTATGTGCTGAGCCCTTCTGCAAAAGGTCTGCTCTCCGACGGGTAAGGACCCCAGTGTTCTGTTTGCCTCCCCCCCCCCCCAGTGGCCTGCTGCCCCACCTCCTTGTCCTGCCGTCCTCCCCCCGGCCCTGTCCCCTTCCTGAGTGTCCCCTCAAGTGTGTCTTCTCCTCGAGGCCCTGGAGAGACTGTCTCTCCTTGGCCAGACTGTTTGTAACTTTGTCCTGTTTCTCCAGCGCCCACGGCGGCTGTCCCTTCAGCGGGAGCCGGTGGCTTCTCGGGAAGATGCCAGCCTCACAGGGTTGGATGTCCCCATCCACTGCCATGGCCACTGTCAGAAGCAACACTTCCGGGGGCAGATCAGGGTGGACGGCAGCCCTGCTGCGGGTCCCCCGAGGGGCCTCTAGGTGCAGCACCCTCGGACTGGTGTTGGGAGCACATGCCAGGCCCCGAAGAGCGGTCTGCCGCCCCTATGGTGCTGATTCCAAGGTCCGCCTGCCAGACCGGACAGATTTAGGCAGGCGGCTTCGAAAATTGGGCCCCATTAGCGCTGAGTGCTCGCATGGCAGATGAGGGGCTCCTGCAATCACACACTCAGCGTCCTGATCGCCCCGATCCCTGATCTAGGTGGCAGGAGCGTAATTACCGTCTCTTTAAATAGCCCGAAGTTGCCGTGTGAGAGAAGACGGCTCACATGACATTTGCTCCCCGCTCGCTTCCTGCTAAAAATATCCCGGCTAAATAATATTTCCTGGTGCCACCGGAGCAGCAGCCCCTGCCCTGGGCTCTGGGGTGCTTAGGGGTCTGGTGCAGGGGCTGGTCGGGAGGGGGCGGGGTGGGGGCCCTGTGGAGGGACTCTGCCTCTGGGAGGAGCAGTTTCGGAGGCAAGAGGGGAGCGCTCTGGCCTTGTCGGGTGCTGAACACGGCCCTGGAGCTCCTGCCGCTCCGCTGGGAGCTGGGGACACCGCTTGCCCATGGGGAAGACCCCAGAGCGCCCCGATGTCCACCCTTCCCAGCATCATTGCTCTCTCAGTCCCCTCTGTGGTCCTCCGTCTCCTGGGCACCTTGTTCCCACGGGCCCACCCTGCCCCTCCTCTTCTTAGCCCTAGCCGTGGCCAGGATTTTCTGAATGGCTTGGGGCAAAGAGACCTTTGCTGTCCCTGGCGGGCACGTGTGTTTGTGGAATACGGGTGGAGTATGGGGCACGGGTGGAAAGTGGAATCATCTACCGAAGGCCTCTGAACCGGGGTCTTGGAATTCCCGGGAGGTCCCAAGCTGAACGCCAGGGGCTTGAGGACAGAGATGGGGGAGGGTCTGCCGCTGTCCCCAGGCGCTGTGCTGCGGCAGCCGCGGGGACCCCTGGTCTGGACCCCGGATGTGTGAACCGTTTCGTTCCGCATGGGGTGTGACGCAGAGAGGGCTGGGACCTGGAAGAACACTTCCTACCTCCGGGGAATTTAAATTCTAAGGAACTCTGTATGCAAAGTTAGGCGGATCAAAGGCTTCAGCCTGTGTGGGTAGATCAGAGATGACTAAGGCTTTACACTGTATAGAACTCATCACGGGCCAAGTTTCGTGATCAGGGTGAGTTTAGGGCACTGGGGATGGTCTTGTCGAGCCCCCAGACCTCCTTTTCCTTGCTTAAGAGGCTCGAAATCCCTTTATGTGGAGACAGATACTGTCAGTTAGCAACTGCAGAGCTGGCTTAAAGTGCCCCCGTGAGAGAGCTGACACAGTGAAATTCTTGCTAAAGTGTAAACAACTGATACGAGCTTTATTTCTTAAGAGCAGCTTTGGTAATGGAAGGGCACCGGGCTGGGTCACCAAAGATAAAGACGGTCTTGGCAGAGGCATCCCTTCGGCAGCTCAGGGACGCAGCCCTGCCCCTGGCACCTGCGTCCTTATGGGCCATCACACGTGGCAGGGTCCCCTGGGCGGCTGGGGTGGCCGCCTTGTCCTCTTCATTCGTGCAGCCAGGTTCCAGCGCAGGCAGTGATGCCAAACCCAGGTACTGTCCTGCCTCCAACTCAGACAGCGGGCCCTGGCTCAGGTGAGGCCACCACCCCCCTGTCATACGCCTGTGCAACAGGCACTTTCTGTCACGTGTCCTTCTCCATTCCAGTGTCACGCCAGATGGAATCAGAGGTCCTGGCTCATAATCCCAAGCAGAGACAAAAGAGGCTTCGGGTCAAAAGCGTTTTCGGCATCGAGGAAAACTCGAGCCTGAAATTCCTCCGAGGCTCCCTGTCCAGAACCTTCACGGAGATGGAAAACAGGTCTTGGAGGGGGTCAGCATCCTGGCGGCTGGGGTGCTGTGGGTCCAGGTCAGGGCCCCGATTTTGGCGTTGGCTGTCCTGCCCCTTCGGGAGGCCCCCTCTCCTTTGGGCCGCCGATAGCACGGGGAGCCAGGGACCTGGAGAGCAGATCCGTGAGGCTGGCTGAAATGGGACCTTTGCCACGTATGCCCCTGAGGCCGGGGGGCTCCCTGGGAGAATGGCCACTGGGCACAGGATGCATCCTGCCACGTGCAACCAAGTCCGAGTTGCCCCCCCGCCCCGCCATGCCAGGTGGCCCAGGGAGCCCCAGGGAAGCAAGCTTTTAATAGGGTAGCCCCACGCCTGGAATTTGCTGAGACAGTTGCCCCTGTCCTCTGGACGGGAGCTTCTTTCAGTGGCTGAGTGAGCGAGTCACCACGGGGGTGCGCCGGCTGGACCCAGGCGCACCACGCAAGAGCCCTCTTTCCCAGCCCTGTGGTTCTTCCCCCTGTGGCCTCCCGTCCTGGTCCTGACGGGCCCCACACCCAGCCAGGTGGGCGTGGGGTGTGAGGCACCAGGGCTGGCGCCGGCACGGGGTCTCACTGGTGTTAACACAAATAGAAAAAGCCAAAGTGGAGGCAACAGGCGTTTATTTGAGATAAAAGGAGAGAAAATAAAGAATTGTCATCGGGGGCATAGACGCAGAGACCCAAGTCGTGTCTCAGTTACTGGGGTGAAGGCAAGAGTTTGATGAGGAAGGAAAGGGGAGGAGTCACGCAAACGGAAAGAAGGAGGCATCCGCATTAGTGCGACCAGGCTAAGTTACTCTTCCGCTACCCGAGGGGGTTGGCTGAGTCTAAAGAACTGTCCTTGATGACCACTTCCTGTGGTCAGGAGGTCTCCCTGTTAGCCTTCCCAACGGTTGTTTGCAAGACCACGTTGCTTCCGCCCAGTTCAACGCTTCTCGCCCCCCAGTCCCAACCCCCCCCCCCCCAGTTTCAAGGAGCAAGACGTGTGAGGCCTTCCCTCTGGGATGGCAGCTCCGATGCCATTTTGAAACGGTTTTCAAATACATCACATTCCCCAGTGGTGACGTCACTAGCTCAGGAGTCACAGCGACAGGGAGCGGGGAGAGGGGGCACATCTGTTTGCTCAACAGCTGCAGGACCCCGGTGAGTCGCTCAACCTCTGGGACCTTCGGTTTTTCATCTGCGACACGGGAACACCAACACCTGTTGTGGGGAGAGGAGACCCCACCTGTTGTGGGGTGTAGGAGCTCGGCGGGGCTCCCGGCACGAGGACTGGGATGAGCCACCGAGGGCTCACGTGGGCCGGCCCAGCTCCCTGCCTGCGTGGGCTCCCTCCCTCGGGCCGCCTCCTGACCACGTCAGGCTCCCTGGCAGAGGGGACTGTGCGACGCAACTTAGTGTTTAACCTGAGACGAACCCTCTCCTCCACGCGGTGCCTGCCCCGCGTGCCCGGATGCTGGGACTCGTGTCTGAAAAGGGGCTTGTCAGTGAAAGCCCGGCTACCAGACAACCTGGCATTCGCAAAACCACCAGGAGCAAAACCATTGAAATACAGCATAAGGAAATACGCATAATTCACAAATGATGTCGAAGACTTTCATCTCAGACTTCCTAACTGTCCTCAATAGAAGACAGACGCGGAGGAGATTTAACTCAGATGTTAACACTGCAAGAATGCCCCGTTACCAGGATATGATGTTTCGGTGCTGCATAAAAATGTAATTATATTCAGAACTATATTTAAAGATTAAAAGGGGGACTGCCTACCACATCTAGCCCCAAATTCAGAATTAGAAACAAAGCAAAAGGCAGTGGTGGGGGGGTGGGGGTGGGCAGGGGGTGGGGGTGAGTTCTAACAGCCTGCTAAAAATGGAAGTGTTTCTTGAAAGTTTTTACACATTTCGGCTGTTTTTATTTGAACGGTTTCCCGATTTTGAAAAGGGAGGGCTAGGATTTTATCCCACGGATGATCACGGAGCACTTGCTCTGTGCGGGGCCCCGCGCGGGCCTTGGGAGGGAACTGAGGCCATCGGATTCTTGTTCTCCTCTGGGGTCCATTCTGCAAAGGGTGTAGAAGCGATGTCCAGACACTTAAAAAGGAGAACAGGGGGGGCCCAGGGGAGACACCCAGGAGCAGGTGACCTTTGTCCCAGGCTTTGGAGACAGGGTTGGTTCTTGACAGTACATAAAATACCAAAATAATTCGGGCATAGCAATAAGGACATTTTTAGGGAGACTTTTGGCCTCTCTGGAAAGACTTACGTGGGGAAAGAATGCTTTTTTTTTTCTCATTTAATTAATGTAATACTAGCAGCCAGAAGGAATCTCTCCCCTCTCTGGTTCCCAGTGCACCTTCCCTGAACCTCCCCGCAGCTTCTAGCTCTTTCTATTCCTATTATAGTTATCGGTGCGCGGTCCTGCCTCTCCCACTGGCATGTGGACGGCTGGCCATCCAGGGCTGCATCTCACTGGGCGTTTTTTACTCTTCGCGGGCCTTATCAAACCGCCGTGCCTTTGGTAAGCACTTAATACACGCTTGTTGCACTGCAATCGCACCAGGAATTCTTTCAAAATGTCTTAGGCAAAGAACATTTCTCTGTGTAAATATGTGACTAACATGCTGGAATATTAATGCACCCGGATTGCCTAAGCACTCAGTGGTTACAGATGTTTTCTCTTTTAATCTTCCCCCCTGCCCACCCCCCCCCCAAAGTAGTTAGAACCTATAGGAGAAATTCTAATTATTTAAGATCAAAGATGTCAGGAGCAGCAGAGGCATCGCGCTGCCCAGCCTGGATGAGAGAGACCAAGAGGCGTTTTTAGCCATAGCGGCTGCTCAGTTTGGAGCAGGGGTTACTGACAAAGCCGCCTCTAGGGGTCAGGCGGGGAGTCTGAATGAGCAGTGAGGGCAAGAAAACCCACCGCCCAAGTGTAGGAGGGTCAAGGCTGAAAAGCCTGGTGGGAGACAGTAGGGAGTGGTGGGGTCTTTGGTGAACCGGCGGCCACCAGACCTCCCCTTAGCCGAAGCTGATTCCTGCAGGCCAGTGTGGTCAAATTGTCTGATTTTGCAAGGAGGAGCTGGTTATAAAATTTTGTCTGCTAGTTAAAAAGATATTTAAAGCCTGGCCCTGGCTGGTGTAGCTCAGTGGATTGAGTGCGGGCCTGCAAACCAAAAGGTTGCCGGTTCGATTCCCAGTCAGGACACAGGCCTGAGCTGTGGGCCGGGTCACCAGTTGGGGGGCGCATGAGAGTCAACCACACAGTGATGTAGCTCTTCCCTCTTTCTTTCTCCCTTCCCTTCTCTCTAAAAGTAAATAAATAAAATCTTTAAAAATATGTATTTAAAGCCCTCTGCTGGGCAAACCACATGTATGTAGGGGTTGCATTTGACCCGAGAGCCAGAATTCGCAAGCTCTGACCTCATGTTTCTCAACCAGAGGTGTGTTTCTGCCTCCCAGAGGACATTGAACAATGGGAGACGTTTTCGATGGTCACAGCTCAGGGGGATGCTGCTGCGTCTGGTGGGTAAGTGCCCTTTTTCCCTGGGAAAAGTGGGGTCACCCGGACATGCCCACCTTCAGCCGCACTGTCCTCAGGGCCATGGGACCTCCTCCTCAGCCACCCCTCTGGGGTCCGAACAATCTGAAGTGTCCCCGGTCTCAAGGCCATCTGTTGTCCTAAGTGATGGCCGAAGAGCTCTAAGGCCTGAGCAGGACCCAGTCCCGCCACCGGGAAGTCCCCTCCTGCTGGGAAGGTTGTCATGGGGGAATGTGGTTGCACCTGAGCCCACGCAGAGGGGGCATAACCAGGCCCGCAAGGAGCTACAGCCATCGATGAGGTCCTCGATGACCAGCCTGGCTGGCTGAAGGGACATCTGGTTCCTTCAGAGGGTCCAGGAAGTACCCTCCGTGATGGAGGCCATGGGGCCACCGGGAAAGGGGCCAGACAGCACCCGCACCTGCCATCCATCCCCAGAACCAAGTAAGGACACGGAGGGGCCAGGACTCACCCCCTGCTGGGGACAGTCATGGCCCTAACGGTGACCACTTCCGAGGTGGGGTGGCAGCAGCCAGGCCGCAGTGCCCACCTGCGGGCCCCAGGACCTCGGCAGAGAGCACAGGGAGGGCCCAGCTGCCAGCCCGAACCGGCCCCCTGGCACGCTGCAGGACAACCCTCTGGCTCCTTCCTCCGAGAAGCCTCCAGCCTCATCCGCGGGAGGGTCCCAGAGAACCCGAGGCTGGAGTCGGCCCACGGATGGCTGGGGAAGGAGGCTGAGTGGGGGCCGTGCACAGATCCAGCCAACCTGGAGCCGGGGGGGTCCCGGGGGCATTTCCCCGCCAGCCTGGCTGGTCCTGGAGACCCTTCCCCTGCTGGCCGGGGCACACCCAGCGGGAGCCGACAGAGCCCACGCTGGCAACCAGCCCTGAAAGTCACAGGCCCCCTGAGCTTCCACACATCGTGGGGGGGCTTCTGAGAGGCCCCTTGCTGGAGCGAGTGTGGAAGTGCCCGGAGGGACCCCAAGTTCAAAGGAGAGGGGTGGGCAGGGGCCAGGTATGTTTTCCACCTGTAGAGTGCGTGCTGGCCGCTCGCTGCCACATGTGGGGAGGCGTGGGGCAGGGGAGGGGCCCCGGGCTCTGCAGCCAGGCAGGCTCAAGTCCTGGTCCTTTGCTCTTTAGCTGTGGGGCCTTGGGCAGGGCACGGACCTCTGTGCCTCAGTTTCCTGACCAGTCAAGTGGGGGATAATAATAGCCCCTCTCCCATGGGGCTGCTGAGGGGTCAGCGAGGGAAGGGGGCAGTGCCGGCCACACACGGCGTGCACACAGAACCCGTGAGCCCTTCTCCTGGTCATTGCTGCCGCCCGGAGCGGCTGAGCCGTGGGCTCCCGGGCCCGGCAGAGGGGCCGTTGGTGCATTCATTCCGGGAGAGTGTGGAGAGCATTTAGCCATAGCTCAGACCTCACTGGGGAGGGGGGTGGTGACAAGACCCTACGGTGTGAGACACCCCTCCCCTGAGCCTCCAGGGGCCCTGACCCCAGGTCTCTAAAGAACCCCATGGGAGGAGAATGGGAGTGTCCCCGCTGTGTTTCCCTGACCGGCCGCCCCTCCGCTCTGGTTCCCATGGCAGCAGCTGGCACCGGGGTGGCTTGGACAGCTCCAGGGACCCCACTGACCCCTGGGGGGTTGCCAGCGCTCTCAGATTCCCTGGCCCAGGAGCCCCAGCGGTGCCCCCAGCCGCAGTGGCCCTGGAGTGCTTCCCTGGAAGGGTGGCACCCCCGCCCCCTCCGGGTCCGCCCGTCGCTGGAAGTGGGACTTGAACCGCAGCCAAGAGAGGCCCGCAGCGACGCCCGGACCGCGAAACAAATAAATAAATAAATAATCAGGGTTGTCTTGGCTGATAAACGGTCTCTACCTCCAGGACGGCGGCTCCCCCTGCCAGCCCCCCGCCCCCCCGCCTCCCTTTCTCCAGGCAGATCCATCCCAGCAAAAGCTTAATAGCCCCATTTAAGGCTTTTCCTTTTCAGCACGGAATTGAGCCGCTCCTGCCATTACGAGGTTTTCAGCTTCTCCCTGAAATCAAATTACTGACTCCATTTAATTTTTTAAAAGCTCAGATGATTTCCCTTCTTGAATCAGAGCCGTGACTCCAAGGCCAAACCCCCTCCCCCCCCGTCCCCTCCCTCCCCGCCCACCCCCAGCTAGGCAGGTCCCCCGCGCGCGTGGCCGCCGCCCAGGGACAGCAGCCCCCATGCGAGGGCAAGCCTGACACCTAGAGGGGATGCCAGCAGGAGGCCCAGACCCGTGGCTGCTGCCCTGGACACCTGGCTGGGGGCCTGGGCTGGGGAGGAAAGAAGGCCTTGACCTCCCCGAGGCCCAGGGCAGCTCACAGGGGCCCATGGCTTCGAGCCGGAAGGTCTTCAGAGGCTGGGGCGGGAGGGCGGTTAGGGCCCAGTGCTGCGGCAGCGGGCTCACCGTCGGCTCCATCCCCAGAGCCCCGGTTGCCTTTCCGAGCGCTCACCCTGGACCCCATCACCCGGCAGATGTGTGCGGAGCAGACCCTGTGTGCCAGGCACTGCTCCAGGTCGGGAACGGGGAGGCCCAGTCGGACAGAGGGAGTCCCTCGTGGGGGGACGAAGGCTCTAGTGTGCATGTGGGTGGGGGTGTCTGCATGATGGGGGTGGAGACGACACAAACACACGCATGCGTGGACAACTGCAGGTAACCAACACCTAGGGTGGTGGGAAGACCCGGCGCCCGGCTTGGGTGGCGGGTGGGGGCTGTTTTGGGGGGTCGGTCAGGGCGCCCCTCTGAGGAGGTAAACCTGGGAACAGCTGCAAGGGGCATCTGGGAAGAGGGACAGCAGGGGTGCGGGAGGGCTGGGGTGACAGAAGGCCCTTGAAGGTGGGGGCGGGGCGGAGCGGGCCTGTGGGGCCCGGAGGCCCAGGCGGGTGCCCAGGCTTCATCTCGGCTTTAAAATGTGCCTGGAGAGTGGACGTCAGAGGGACAAGAGCAGCAGCAAGGGGACAGGGTGGGCGTGGGGGGGCGTGGTTCCCCGGTGAGACAGGCCACCCCACCCCGCTGGAAGGGACAGTGACTCCAAGGGCCCCTCTGTGAGGTTGGGGGCCACTCCTGCCCGCCCAGCGTGCAGACGGCTCGGTGGAGGTGGCTGCGGGTGACGTTTGAGACACGTCCCATCTTCCATCCGACACTAGGGGCCTGCGTCTCTGCCCGCCTGTCTCTCTGTCTCCCGCGGCCTTCCTTCTGGCTCCTCCCCTTTTCCAGCAGAGCCGCCCGGCCGCGCGACCTCTCCCACCAGGGGCGCGCACACCGAGAAAGTCCCGTAAACCGGGGCTGACCCTTTGCCAAGTCCTCCTCACGGTTAACCACCCTGCGTTCTCGGAGATGAGGCCGAGGGGACGGAGTTAATGAAATCGCTAGGCTCTACCTGGCATAAAAGGCTCTTCACCACCCCCGCCCCCTGCCAAGGCGGGCGGCGATTTGCAAGGCTGAGAGGGTCGGGCATTAACAGTTCTGGGCACTCTTCCCAGCTCTGCACGGCGGGAACGAACCGCTGCTCTGCCTTTCCTCGCTCCGCACGACTCCAGACCGGGACGGCGTGTTTCACGAGAAGGTGCTTGCACTCCTTCTGTCCTTCCTTAAGACGGTCCGGGGCTGGGACCAGGGCTCCGGCTCCGCCCGGGCCTGGGAGGCACCCGTGCTTGACCCTGGGCCGCGTGTGCACCTGCGCCAGCGTCTCCCCGGGCTCGGGGGCCTCCAGCCAGGTCTGGCAGCGAGTGATCTGTTGTTCACGGCTGGCCGATGGCTAAGTGTCTGCAAGGAGACGTCCTGGCAGGGAGTGGCCCTTCCCCTCCCGGGCAGCTCCCTGCTGGGCGGGTCTGGGACAACCCAGAAGGCAAGGCGCTTCCGTGGCTGCCCGTCCTCAGCAGCTTGGATCCTCACCTTCGACCTCCACTCCCCCCCACCCCCACCCCGCCTCCCCCGCCGCCGCCCCCGCTCGTGACTCTGGGTGTGAAGCCCGGGGTCTGTGATACACGCATCACCCCTCTCTCCCGTGCCCTGGAAGGGCCTGTGGGCCATTTCCCTTTTGGGGTTTCCCCCTTGAGCTCTGCCCCATCCGGGCTCACGATGTCTTGAATTCCCAGATTTTAGATGCTGCCCACAGCAGCCTTCTCCCATCACGACATGTTCTTTCTGCCTTCCCTGCAGGTCTCCACTGGGTATTTGAATATTATTTAAACTGAAACCGGAGCCATCAATTTAGCAGTCCTCCGAATGCTCACATAAGCAGGGGGGCCGCGGTGGGAAGGGCTTTCTCCTGGCTGTCCTCCCCAAGCTGTGTGACCTTGAGCAAGCCGGTCCACTTCTCTGAGCCCCTCTTTCGGCACGGGGCGGTGTGGAAGCAGGAGCAAGTGGCCAGGCCACCTCTGCTCTAGGATAACGTGGGGGTCCGTCCTGCGAAGGCGGTAGGATGAGAGCCCCCAGTGCTGCAGGAACCCCTCCCCTGGAGCATCTATCGTCCCCAGCTCCGCCCACCTCCTGACTCCGCTGCTGCTCTGGCCCCTGGGGACATGGGCTGCCTGAGGCATCAGGCCAAACCACGGGGGCCAGGTAGGGAGATATGGACAGAGGCTCGTTGCCACGGAGACAGCTGGAACCCCGCCCCCCCGCCCCTAGCTCCATGGGTGACCGCCCACCAGTTCCCCTTCCCCTTTCAAAGTCCAGGATGGGCGCTCCCACACTCCAGATCTCAGAGCCCCACAACAGTGGTCCTCAAAGTGGGGTCCCCAGACCAGCGGCAGTCAGCACCACCTCCCAGACTCGAAATGCAAATTCTTGAGCTCGACCCTAGACCTCCTAATCCAAAAACGCAGGGGGCGCGGCCTCGAACCCTGGGCTGTAACGAGCCCTCCAGGTGGAAGTCGAAATTCTTGGAGACTCTGTGCCCCGGGCAGCCCCACCTGCACTCCCAGTCCCAGAATTCCTCTGTCCCCATAACAGTGGGAACACTCGACAGCTTCCAAGCACATTTAAAAAAAATATTTTTATTTATTTATTTTTAGAGAGAAGGGAGGGGAGGGAGAAAGAGAGAGAGAGACACACACACACATTGTTATGGCACAGAAACATCCGTCCGTGGCCTCCTGCATGCTGCGCGGGACCCACCCAGGCACGTGGCCTAATCAGGAACCGAACTGTGGGCTTCCTCTTCGCTTCGCCCGGTAATGCCCAGACAACGGAGACACCGCGGGCAGGGCACAGCCTCCAAGCACTCTCCACCCCCGCCGCCCCCTGCTGCTCGGACTGTCCCGGAGGAAGAGCGGAGTCGTTCTCCCCCATGGACAGACGAGGAAACTGAGGCTCAGGGCCTCGTCACACAGCGAAGATGACGGCAGAACCGGGGCCCAAACGCTGGCCTCCTCATTCTCAGGCGGCGGCTCTCTCTGGCCCACCTTGGGTTTCCCGGGCTCCTTAACCCGAAAGGACCAACACGACCCCCCCTCCCCCCCACCCCCAGTCGGAGAGGAAATCCCCCTTCCAGCTCTCTCCCCCCAGTTTCCAGTTGCCATCCCGGGAGAGCGCATCCAGGAAACATAAATCCTGCCTGGTGGCTGAGTAAGAGCTCTGAAAGGAGTTACACGTCAGGGAGATGGGACTTTATTTCTCAATGAAATAGCCTTTTTATGGTTGGAATAAAAGTGCCAGCGGGAGCCTAATGCCAGGAAGTAGAGAGCACATTTGATAAACATCTTCAGCCAGGGGTGGGGCTGCCTGGGAGGGGGCGGCGGGAGAGTGGGCCCCACATTTCCACACGCGTGTTTCTCTCCAGGTCAGAGCTCTGGAAGCTTCTGGGATCCTGCTCCCGGACCGCGCAGGAAGCAAGACAGACCTCGGACCGCGGGAGCGCCTTCGCTGGGCCACCGGGCCCCGGGAGCAGAACTGCAGTGCGGAGAGTGGGCAGCAGGGGGCAGCATAATCCACCGTTCCTGCCCCAGCCAGTGGGCGCTGCAGAGGGGCGGGGAGGGGGAAGGGGGGGTGTTGTGGGGGCGCTGGCAGAGGGGCTCTGAGACTCAGCCCTCAGAAGGGATCGGCAGTAACCCACTCCCCGGGACCTTCTCCGCCCTTGAGCCCTTATCCCCAGCCGCTTTGCAGCAAGAACAATCTGTCATCCTCACTCTGGCTGCCACCTCTGTGGGTCCAAATCTTAATGTGGGGAGGGGGGTAGTGGGGAGGGGGCACTTCTCCATCCCCTTGCCTGCCTTCTGGCGCGTTTCTCCAGGAGCTCCTCTGGGCTTGGCTTCGGACCTACTGGCCCTCGGCTTCCTTTGGAAGGGTCCCTTGAGGGGGCTCAGAGTATGTGTGTGGGCGATGGCTTTTCTGGGTGGGGGGCCACAGCCTTCATGGCCACTGGGGGCAGGAGAAAGTCCTGAAGGACAAAGAGAAAGCGGGGAAAGCTCCTCGTTTGAGACGGTGGGTGATTGGCAGGTTTACGGCCTCGGGAAGGTGCGTGGTATTCTGCACAATCAAGTCATTTTTAAAAATAATCTCCCTGCTTAAGTCGTACATGCTGCTAATTGCATTTTAATAAGTCTCTTAAAATCTTGCCATATTTTTTAATATCCTAATATTAGGGAAGTGATTTCGGGGGACACTGGAGGGCACGGGGAGCCTAGGCAATGGAGGGAGGGCTGTAATGAAGCTGGGGACGGCGGGGGCCCCCAGCCGGCCTGGGAGGTGTGTGGGTCTGTTGCTATGCGATGTGTGTGTTGGGGGTGGTGAGTGTGTACAATGTGTGTGTGCGTGTGCACACACAAGTGGCTGTAGGCCGGGCTTCGCCTCTGACCCAGCTCACCCTATGCTCTCTGGCCAAGGATGAGCCCAGAGAGGGGCTGTAACTTGCCCAAGGCCTCGGGGAGACCAATGGGAGGACCCCAGTCCCTGTCTTGTGACAGCAGGGGAAGAATGACCTTTGCACCGTCTCGGGCACAGTCTCCTTGCACACGCGGTGACCTGAGGAGGGAAACGGTGGGGAGATTCCAGTGAAGCCCCTCAGGGGTCCCACAGCGAGTAAGTGGCAGAGCTGGGATTTGAACAGCAGTCAGCTCCCGTGCCTGGGGAGGCTCTTAACCACAATGGGACAGGAGGCTGAGCTGGGATCCAAGCACTTCCCGAATCTCCAAGGGTCCAGAGCCCGTGAGGACCCTGTCGGCAGTGGCAGGGCAGACTGGCGGAGGCCGGGAAGTAGAAAGGTGGGTGGCTGTGGTGTCTTCTGTGCCCAGCCCCTCTGGGACTGCACGGCAGGTCCCAGGGCCAAGGGCGACATGCCACCTTCTCCTGAGAGTCCTCGGAGGTCAGAGGCCTGGAAGGGCCATGGCCGAGGCTGTCCGGCCTTGGACCTTAGTGAGCTCTGGACTTCCGGAGGCCCCCCCGCCCTGCCCCGAGGCCCGCACTGGCCACAGCCTCCCTGCCTCCGCCCCCTTCTCCGTGCTCCGAGCCACCAGCCCGGGTGGGAGGCACATGGTGAACGAACTTCTGAACAGGAAGTCAGCATCCAGGTCGTCCCCAGCCCCTTTTCATGTGGTTTCTTTAATCCCTGGGGCTGGGTTTCAGAAGCATTTTACAGTTTCAGTTTTACAAAGCTACGCTCCCTTTAATGTTGGCGTTTTGCAGGAGGCTGGGGAGAGCGGCTTCAGTCAAAACATGTGTGTTTTACATCAGCCAGCTGTGCACCGCGCGGCCGGGGAGGGGAGGTGGCAATGTGGCCTCCAGGCCCGGTGGGCTCCGGTCGATGCAGACGCCGGCCGGGCGAGCCCTTGAACTCCGCTTGCCTCTCTGCCTCTTCCCCAGCGCCCTGCCTGTGTCCCTCTCTCCTGTCCAGGCCCCGGTGGGACCTGCCACCGCCAGTGGGGCCAGGGCACCCCGCTTCCGGGCCCCTGACCACCTGGGGGCCCTTCCAGTGGCTGTCCCTGCACTCACACTTCCCGGGCGTGGGCATGCTGGGGTGTCGTAGCCTCCGGCCACCTGTGTGGGGCTTAATGCAGTGTCTTTCCCTGAGCAGAAATACTTAGGACATTGTGAGTCTGGTGTGCTGGTTACATCTATCGGTTTGGATGCACAAGAAAACGAACTAAACTGCTCGAATAGAAAGGAAAGGCTACGTACCACCTTAACTCAGCCCGCAGACTTCAGGACCCCCCCACATTCTGTGACCCCTTCCCTGGAAGAGGAGATGAAGGTCTGGAGGTGAGGTGACCTGCCCAAGGTCGCAGCGTGGGTGGGACTCGGGGCCCCTCGGCCTGTGCTCGAGGTCAGGGGCTTCAGCATCGGGCTCCAGAGCACCAGGCTTCTCGGCCCTGGAGTTTCGGGCTCTGAAGGAGCCACCGGGGCCCCTCTGAGCTCACGCAGGAGAGGGCTGCGCTCCTGGGCAGTGTGGTCGAGTGGAAAGAACATAAACTTTGGAATCAGTCCCTCAGGCCTGACTCCAAACTCCTCCCTCCTAGGTGTGACGGCGGGAGAGCCTCGGTCTGCCCGTCTGTGAAATGGGGCCGACCCCACGCAGGGGTCAGACACGCCTGGGATGTGCGTCTGCTCCTCCGCAAACCCAGGGGTCGTCCGTGAACACCTGGGCCTGGTTCTTGCCCACTTCGCTCCTGTCCCCAGCCCTGGCTCCTCACCCCCTCCTCCCTGACCCAGGAGAGGCAGCAAGATGCCCCCAAGAGAGGACCAGGAGTGAGGGGCACGCCCTCCCGCCCCACACACTGAGCAGGGTGAGGGTAGAACGAGCGATGTGTGTGCAAGGACGAAGGTCGTTCCCCCTTAGAAGTGGGGTGCCTGGGAGACTCCGAAGCTGTTTGGGTGAGGGTTAGGGTGCAGGACGCCCGGTCGGTGCTGCCCTGGCCAACTGGGGTTTGAGCTGCTGAGGCCACGCCCCCGGTCCAGCCAAAGCCTTAATCCCTCCCGGCCCCAAAGCTGTCCCGCTGCCCCAGGGCCTCCAGCTGCTTGAGGACGGGCTGCAGGATCTGCAGGCCTGTGCCAGGGGAGGGGTCTGCCAGGGTCCCCCATGTGGCCAGGGGGTCCCCAGAGCATGTTATTTTTGGCCTGAGCTGCCATTCACGGGCCAGAAAGGCCAGCGGTCAAGGTCAGTGGCCCTGCCTCCCCCCAGGCCAGAGGCTGCTCCTAGAGGACCCAGGAGAGAGGAGGAGCACAGGTCTAGCCCCGGGGGGGAGGCTGGCGGGGGTGGGGGGCCCATCCAGCAGTTGTCTCTCTTCCCTGGGTGCTCGGGGAGGGGGTGGCGAGAGACACCGCAGGCCTCCTCAGCAATGTGCCCGCTGCGGACGTGTTCTGAGCACTTGGGATGTGTCGGACGCCGTGCTGAGCACGTCACGTGCCTCATGTCATCCCACCCGCTCAGGAAGGCGCTCTGGGAGGACACCTGGAACATGCCGGGCACACAGTAGGCCCTCAATAACCATTTGTTGAATGGAAGCGGCCTAGCGAGGTGAAGGGGTTCCTCTGCCTGTCGGTCACCATGCTCTTGCACTGCGTCGATCCCTAAGGACGGGCTGCTGATGGCGGCGGGTGCTTGGGCGTGGGCAGAAGGGAGACTCGGGCAGCAGGGCAGCAGGTTCCCCTGGGTCCCACACACCCCACCGACTCCCTTTTCTGGAGAGAGGCCGTCACGGTCCCTTTTTTGGGAGTGTGTATGTGTGGGAGGGCAGGTCCCCCAGGATGCAGGGTGCTTCCTCGGCTGATCCCTCAAGCCACCCAGGGGAGAAACACCCTTGGCCCGGGGCCTCGTCGGCTCCCTCGGGGGCAGCGGAGGGCTGGGCCTGGCCGGGCTGCAGCTGTGTGGGGCCCCGGGAGGAGGGAATCAAAGGCAGCCATGTGGGCCCCGCTTTCATCTGCCGGCTTCAAAGAGGTGCAAACAAACTCTGTCCCCGTGCCAGGCGGCAGCTCCCTCCTCAAGGCCCCAGCCTGATTTCCCCTCCTCCCTCCTGCTCCTTCCCCCAAAGTCAGCAGCGCCTCGGCTCGTCTCAGGGCGCCCCGGAGGGGCCCTGACTCCCGGCCACGCGGCCACGCGGGGAAGAGCCGAGGCCCCGCGAGGCCGAGGGTAGGAGGGGGCCGGGACCCTCCTCACACCTGTGCACGCTCCCGCCGCACGCAGGCCGGGCTGGCGGCTGGGGGCTGATACAGCCCCGCCGCCCAGTTGCTTCCCGGCCCGGAGCCTGCCGTCCCGCGCGTGGCCACCCCGCACCCGATAGCTGGCTAGTCCGAAGGGGGTTGGGGGGTGCCCGAGGGGCTTTCTCGGATCCGGTATGAACAAAAGCATGTCAAGTACCCCATTCATCATGTTTACACTGATTACATGCTGAAATGATCATATTTTGGAGCGATTGGCTTAAAAAGTATAGTATGTTGTTAAAATTAATTTCACCTGTTACCTTTTACTCCTTCCAATGTGGCTACTAGGAGGTTTGCAGTGACGGATGGGGCTCGCCGCTTTCCCGTACGCGGGCGCTCTGCTGCGGACGGCACTCCCATGTTGCCGACGGGGGTCCTTAGACTCAGAGGGGTTGGGGCGCCTGAGCCCCAGCAGTGCTCAGTCAGTTCTATGGAAGGAAGGAAGGAAGGAAGGAAGGGAGGAAGGAGTGTCCTGCAGCGGCTGTGTGGAGACACAGATGACCCCATCCCGCCCCCATCCTCCCGGAGCTCCTGGCCCAGAGTCTAGTCTAGCTGGGGGGAGGGGTGCCACTGGCATCAGAGACCCCAGCTCCCGGGGGGGCCCCCCCGGGGACCTCTGAACAGCGGGGAGCTGAAGAGGCTCCTGGGCCCGGATCCCGGCTCCACCACTTGCTGGTTGTGAGACTGAACTGCCTCGGCTTTGTCATCGGTACCGTGGGGGCGAGGGAGGTAGTGTGACAGCCCCCCGGCGGAGCTGCTGCTGCGAGGACTGAAGGACGTCGCGTGCTTGGCTAA